TCATTATCTACACCTACCCCTGTCTGAAGGAAACCTCCTGGCCCTAAATCAGGCAGCACTGAGGGCGAAGCAGAAGCAACTATTGCCCACTGGTCGTTCTAAGTGACTTCGGAAGCCGCAGTGAACCGTGGGGCTGCACTGCTGAGCTCCATCACAGAGGGAGGAGAGGGGAGAGACCAGTCCCTGTCCTGTGAGGACGCTTTGTTCAGTCACTCTCTTTCTTTCAGAAACTGATCGGCTTAGATTTGAAATTGAAGGGTTTATTTTTCTCGTTCCTTTCCCCGTTATCCTAAAATCCTACACTTCGAGCTAAGTTTAACAATAGAACCCCAAATATGAGCAACCAGTGGCAGGAAACAGTCTTGAAGAAGGAAGGAAGCATCTATGGAAATATCTTGCGACTAGAGGGCACATAGAACCACAACATGATCATATGAAGAATACACAAACAGCTTCTGCAAGACATTTGCTGTGTCTTTTCACGTACCCTCCTTCTGGAGGAGGCAGTCTTCTGCCTTATTTTCATACAAAGCTGCCTGCATGCAAATACAAATTAATTTCTCGAACCTTTCTATAGCTGCAGATGAATATAAATGCAGCCTCTTCAGCCAAGCAGGCTGGGCTCAAGGCAGTATTTACAGCGTACAGCATTTGCCGGGTACCTGCAAGATTTCCAGTGAAGTTGCAAGCCGAGCCGGTGCTCGAGAAGAACCTGCCCTTATTCAACAGCGAGCCCAAGCGGCTCCCATGGCAGCATGAAGGACCTGCCAGTGCTAAGCAATGCATCTGGTTTTGAGGGCATCCCATCTTGCATTATCATTTCTCTGAAAAACGAGAAGATGGGATGTAGTATTCAAGAGTAGAAAACAATCACTTGAGAGTCATCAGTGAGTAACAAGCAGACTTTCAAACAAGCACCAGAGAGGGCCTTGGTGGAGGAAAAAGGAAGCCAAGTAGTCCCAACATCAGCTCAGTGTGTGACTTGGGCAGCGCTGTGCTCCCATGGGCCACTCGGAGGAGGATCCTGCTCTGAAGGCTCACCGAGCATCACCGCTGACATACTGTGCTGCATACTCTGGAGGCCACACACTCATTAGGATTTTTATCAGCAGAAAAAAAAAATCTTTAAACCATGCCCTTTCCCTCCTGGTTGCTCATTCATTGGCCAGCAGGTCGAGGGAGGTGATTCTGCCCCTCTACTCTGCTCTGGTGAGGCCTCACCTGGAGTACTGCGTCCAGCTCTGGAGCCCTCAGCACCAGAAGGACATGGAACTGTTGGAGCGGGTCCAGAGGAGGGCCACAAAAATGATCCGGGGGCTGGAGCCCCTCTCCTATGAGGACAGGCTGAGGGAGTTGGGCTTGTTCAGCCTGGAGAAGAGAAGGCTGCGGGGAGACCTGATTGCGGCCTTTCAGTACCTAAAGGGGGCCTATAGGAAAGATGGGGAAAATCTTTTTAGTAGGGCCAGCAGTGACAAGACAAGGGGTAATGGTTTTAAACTAAACCAGGGTAGGTTTAGACTGGATATAAGGAAGAAGTTCTTTACAATGAGGGTGGTGAAACACTGGAACAGGTTGCCCAGAGAGGTAGTGGAGGCCCCATCCCTGGAAGCATTCAAGGCCAGGTTGGATGGGGCTCTGAGCAACCTGATCTGGTTAGTGGTGTCCCTGCTCCTGCGGGGGGGTTGGACTAGATGGCCTCTAGGGGTCCCTTCCAACCCAAAGCGTTCTATGATTCTATGATTCCACCACCCAGGTATCTCCCGACACAGGCCGGTACAGTAGTTTGTGCAGTCACAAAGCAAGCCACCACCAGAAACAAAGAACATCAGGAAGAGACCACGCAAAGACCTCACTAGCTACTACGGGGAAAATCACTTCCACTGCTTTACTTTGGATTAGTACAAAGAAGAAGAAAACCAGCTACTGGTGAGGGCATTACCATTCAGACACTCGTGAGTGGGACCACGCTGCGGAGTGGGTGCTCGGAATGTAAAACACCCATCGTAGGCGTCAACATTTTCTTATGATATTGCAATTTGTGCATCAGTCCTAGTAAGTACTGCTTGGATAAGCAAATGCTGCCAATGTGAATGCTGCTTGAGACTGCTTTAAAGTCTCACTGGTTTTCAGACTATAATACCAATCATCTTGGTTTTGCACCAAAAAAACCACAACTTTTTTTTCTTTTCTGAAGTTATTTAACACTTGAGGTGAACCAGAGAAGAAGAAAAAATTAAAAAAAAAAAAAAAAAAAGGCAAAAAAGAAGAAAGCTCTACTTACATCTGAAGTTAATTCCAGAGAGTTAGTTGTTTTCAGAAGAGGTCCTACCGGCTGCTCGATACTTTTGTACACACAGATCACACACAGGTTGATCAAACATGGATTTGCAATCTACCCTGCAAGAAAAACAGTAAGAAATGTTTCCCTCCCCATGGGCACTAGACATGCGAAAAATATAGCTGGTCTATGATGAACGCCGGAAGTTTAGACCTGACAGCAGACAGGTTAGATTGAGCAACATGCAACAAATCCAAAAAGCTCCCAGAGGTTTAGCTCTCCTCATTAGGTCCCAGAATTCAGGTGCTCTGCCTACATTTCTCAAGCGGTGCAATCTGCAGGAAGCATCTGAAAGATGTCATTTATCCCTGCCAGTACCTCATTTTTGAGAAAAGCAGGACATTAGCCACTACCTTTTCCCAGATCATCCCGTGCAGAGACTCACAGTAGCACTTGCTGCTCAGTAAACCAGTTTGGATGAGCATCATGGGATGGGCAGCCCTGCTGTCTGTGGAGGCAGAGGAGCAGCAGCCTGGGGCTCTGGGCCGTTCAGCACCAGGCAGGTGCCACAGCATCGAACTCACAGGCTTCCAAGCATCTCACTAGATTTAGCCCTGGATTACCAAAAAACATAAAGGGAGAAAATAAAGATGTTGCAGTGCTACAGCTCTATTCTGTACATGCAGCAATCAGGAACCCACTGCTAATTAACTTGAGAAGCACAGCTCAGGCCCCCTCAGCGAGCCACTCCTGCGCTGGGATGTGCTCCTATCCGACACATGCCGGTAGATGGGAATTAAAACAACAAATGGAAAACTAAATTGGCACTCTGATCTGGGAGAGGCGAAAAGCTGGCACTGTGAATTTTTAAATTCTATTAAGTAGATTGCTATAGGATGGCCAAGCTAAAAAGCCAACCCATTTAGAAGGCTTTATGAGTATTTCCAGGATTATCTACTTTAATTCATCATTATCTCAAAACAAATAACGTGTATTCCGTAACCTCCCTCCTAAACTTTTTTTAATTGTTAAGAATCTCTGAGGAAGACAGATTGAGACAGCCATTTGTAAAGAAATCTTTTTGCCAAGATAGCATTCACAATAAAATATTCCTTGACTATTTACTGTATAGCCCTTTAACTATATAATTACCGGAATGTAGTTGGCGGTCAAATATGAAGTTCCTCTGTGGAAGAGAATAAATACACAGCACTGAGGGGTTGTGCAATTTTGTGTTGCATTTCAAAACCAGAAGCGTTCTATAAAAACAGTACACGATGTTAAAGATTTGAACTGTTTTGCAAATACACCATTGGCTGAATTCTGCAATAGTCACGTTTGTTTGGTGGCCGAATCAATGCCAAAAGTAGCGATGCGCTGCAAAAAGGCGATTTGTCACATATTCTGAAGCCTTCGGCGTTCAGTACGGGAAGGGTAACGTGCATGTGGAAGCCCACGTGTCCAGGGCATTTCACTCGCCGTCGTGCCCCAGGGTAAGGCACGCGCTCCCCCCATGGAGGACTCTGTGGATGGGGGACAGGAGATCTGCGACGGGAGTTCTTCCACCTGCAAGACCAGTAAAGAAGCAGAAATTAGTTCTTCCGAGGTCCGCTGGGTACTTTCAGGGCCATCCCCGCGAGGGGATCAGCATCCCCGCTCGCTGCGACCAACTCTGCGTGGGTGAGGAACTGGTGAGAGCTGCCCAACGGGGCTGAGCCCCAAAGCCGAGGTGGGCGAGCCCCCACACGGCGTGTGACCCCAGGGCTTCGTGAAGGAGGTGCCTCATGGTCGCTGCCGCCTAACTCACCGCTGGGGTCGAGCGCCGAGGGTGACGGCTCGCCAGCCCCGGGCTCTTTACGGAATACACGTTATTTGTTTTGAGATAATGATGAATTAAAGTAGATAATCCTGGAAATACTCATAAAGCCTTCTAAATGGGTTGGCTTTTTAGCTTGGCCATCCTATAGCAATCTACTTAATAGAATTTAAAAATTCACAGTGCCAGCTTTTCGCCTCTCCCAGATCAGAGTGCCAATTTAGTTTTCCATTTGTTGTTTTAATTCCCATCTACCGGCATGTGTCGGATAGGAGCACATCCCAGCGCAGGAGTGGCTCGCTGAGGGGGCCTGAGCTGTGCTTCTCAAGTTAATTAGCAGTGGGTTCCTGATTGCTGCATGTACAGAATAGAGCTGTAGCACTGCAACATCTTTATTTTCTCCCTTTATGTTTTTTGGTAATCCAGGGCTAAATCTAGTGAGATGCTTGGAAGCCTGTGAGTTCGATGCTGTGGCACCTGCCTGGTGCTGAACGGCCCAGAGCCCCGGGCTGCTGCTCCTCTGCCTCCACAGACAGCAGGGCTGCCCATCCCATGATGCTCATCCAAACTGGTTTACTGAGCAGCAAGTGCTACTGTGAGTCTCTGCACGGGATGATCTGGGAAAAGGTAGTGGCTAATGTCCTGCTTTTCTCAAAAATGAGGTACTGGCAGGGATAAATGACATCTTTCAGATGCTTCCTGCAGATTGCACCGCTTGAGAAATGTAGGCAGAGCACCTGAATTCTGGGACCTAATGAGGAGAGCTAAACCTCTGGGAGCTTTTTGGATTTGTTGCATGTTGCTCAATCTAACCTGTCTGCTGTCAGGTCTAAACTTCCGGCGTTCATCATAGAGCAGCTATATTTTTCGCATGTCTAGTGCCCATGGGGAGGGAAACATAGCCGGCCAAAGGCCCGACCTGCGCGCAGGTGCTGCTGCATTGCCACAGCACAGGCGGGCCGGAGCGGTCGCTGGCATCGCACGGCCCTGCTTTGCGTCCCGGCTTCCTCCTTTCTGCATACGCGAGTGCAGCACCCAGCATACGAAGAACAGGAAAGTTGCGCTGTGAAATGCATTCGGTTTCAGAGGACGAAATGTACTTGTATGGATGAACAGCGAAGCGGCCAGGTAGGCTTGTAACCGAGTTCAGTGGTAGCCGGTGGATACATCTCGAGTTGCACTGCCAAGTGCTTTGGGTTGCTCCTCTCCTTCTGCTTTTCAGGAGGCACCGGCTCAAATGTTCGCTAACTCTGGCGAGCGAGTAACAAAGTTGTTATCAGAGAGCCCAAGGGGCAATTCCTTTTCACAGCTTTGGCTTCTCAGCTTTTCTCTGCTGTCCCCAAGAATGCTGACACCATCCCGCTCCTTTAGGAAAGAGGGAAGAAGAGCGCGTACAGCTTTGTCTAGTATGTCTTGCTGACATACATGAAGCCATCCTGTATTCATTTTCCTTAGGAATTAACACATGGAAAAGAGTTACCCTAAAGAAACTTACAGAGGAAAATCAGCTGCTCTGGAGTGTCTATCACTGCTGTAGCTACATTGCTAAAGGATAAACAAAAAAGCCTGATTGGGTAATGAAGCGTGTGTGCTTGGGATTGCCTCAGAATTCCAGGATTTTAGCACCGAAAAAAGGATGAGTTGGGGCAATGCTTTTTCTGCATTCAGGATATTTCTGCAGTCTCAATTCCATATAGATTCTATGAGCATAATGAACCGTGAGGCCATCCTGCAACATCTCCTCTATCTTGCATGATCCCTGTCCTACGTGGTTGTCTAATTTCTTCAAAAAATATAGGAGCTCTGAAACATGTATCCCTCTGCCCAGCTGGACAGAAAGACCCCCGCGCGTTCTAAAGGAAAGGAACAGAGTCAACCTTATTTCCTAAAGCTTCCCTTAGGACAGTAGCTAGAAAAGCAGCTTAGGTCTGTGTCGAGCTTTTAACTCTTGAGAATATAGTTCAAAGAACATAAAATTTAGGCAATTCTTAGACAATTTCTTTATTATTTATTACTTATTTATTTTTTATTTATTTATTTCTTAGACAATTTAATTATTTTCATAGACAATTTAATGATGTGTTAGTGAAGCTATTTACCCTTAATTAAGGAGCCTGGAAAATTCAGACATAAATTCGGCAGGTGCTATGATGGAGAACAAACTAATTGGTAGAGGCATCCAGAAATAAATTTTTACAAACTTTTCTTTTTTTTTTTTTTCTTTCTTTTCAGGTATGAAGCACCGTGCTCTGTGATACTTATGTTGCTGGTTCTCACCACTGGAGGATGGCTGCCATACTCTGTGAAAATTGTTCTGGTCAGTACCACTATGCCCAGGTCAACCAACCGCTTGAAATCAGCTGCATGTTGCTCCTGATTATGCTCGGAAAAGTGTTCCTTGATTTCTTCATGTTGCAAGTCAAGCAAAAAAATGTGAAAGTTAGTTTTATGGGATACTTTTGTGTTTCACTTGCACTTCTTGATTTCATGCTGCTGACGAGTATCTCTTTCACTTTCTATTTTGAAGACTTTGCACTGTGGGGTGTGCGATTTACAAAGTACCACATTTGCCTGTTCACTCAGATAATTTCTCTTACCTACGGCATTTTGCATTACCCGGTGTATCTCATGGCTGGTCTGGATTATTACGTGACTATAGCCCAAACCTCTCGATTTCCCCAAAGAGGTCAAAGATTACTTTATGTATTTGCCGTGGTTGTGATATGGACTTCAGGGTTTTTTTTCATTCTGAAAGTTCCCGCTGTCTATGAAGAACTAGAAATTCAGAACCACGTTTCTCCCTATCAGTGTCCACTCTATGCCAGCCTGCAGAGCTACTCGGTCTCGTGTGCCATGGTGCTGCTCATCGGCACGGCTCTCCTGGCTTGTCGGAAGGAAGTTACAACCATGCTGCTGTCTGTCAGGGTAGTTTCCTTTGCCAGTCAGCCTGTCCTGATGTTCTCCCGTGTGTCTAACAACAACGGCCCTTGCTTTAAGTGGCAGCTCCTGACCAGACTCCTCATCTGTTTTCTTGGCACTTGGGCACCTTTTGTTGTTCTTCAAATTATCATTTTGTTCCTCGGTGCTCGGATTCCAGCCTACATGGAGATGAACGTCCCCTGGCTGTACTTCATCAACAGCTTTCTCATCGCAGTAGCATACTGGTGTCGATGTCATGATGTTGACTTGACAGAGGAGATGTGGTCTACGGATCCATTTGTCAGCTGGAAATTCTGCTTTATACCGTTTAACAATGAAAACACAGAGCCAGCTGATAAGCCAGGCACAGTAATTGTGATCTGTTAATGAGCTGCTGACTGAAAAGACTGAAGTGTGTGCTCTGACATTCTGTGACGGTGTCCTTACAGATAATACAAGGAAACATCTCCAGAGCTACAACCCACGGAAAAGAGCCCAGCGTAGACCAATAAGGCCACGTATTGCACGCTTCCACGCCGGGTTCCAGTGGGCAGGAAGCACCTGCCAGTTCAGAGAATCTAACTTGAGGATACGGGTTTAAGAAGAGACCGCTGCTTACAAAAACCAAGCTTTCAGTTGAGCCTTCTGTTTATTACTAGAATTTTACACCTGCTTTAAACGGAATGATCTCAGGTCTTGTAGTACAAAATGCAATAAAGCCTTCTTCAAAGCTGGAGCCCTTTCAACACGTATGTACACGTGTCAACCTGCTGTCAAAGGTTCAAACAACTTCTGCTATTTTTGAAGCATATTTTCTTGTCCAAGTGCGACTCTTTGTCAGTTTGATTTCAGTTGAGAGTTATTGTCTGTTTGACAAGAAAGAAATTGTTTTAAGTCACATAAAGCTACGACTCCTACGGAAATACAAACTTTGTTTACTTAGTACAAAAATAGTGCAAGATGTGCAGTTTCCACAACTACAGGAAAGGTGGTGATGTTTCATTATTTCTGTGCTACTGCTCCTCTAATGTATATATGTACATATTAAAAATTAAATAATTACAGTCAGAGTGAGAAGCAACAAGGTTAGTTGCTATACATCAACACGCGCCCAAGGTTAAAGAATGGGTTAATTTAAAATATAGTTTATTTTGAAACCAAAATGACTTTAAAATAGCTAAATTGGAAGTGGGACTACTTCAGCAGGGGGGGAGAATTAGTCAGGCTTCTAGCAAAAATACTCTCTTAATTTTCAAATTCTTACAGTTTTTCTGAAGGTCTTGATTTAAGTTTGTAGAAGAGAAATAAATGATACGCAACCAAAGCAGACAAATGGAAGTCGCATTTATTTCTGAAGCACTGAACTCACAATACAATGCTGTATTGAAATAGAAACTATATCAGTAAATGATGCCGTGGGTTGGTTAATCATTCACCCAGACCCACAGGGAACAATGATAACACACAAGAATACTCATTAAGAAAAATCTGCAGATAATAACAAAAGGTGCAATTACAAGCAAGTTTAAGCAGCATAGTATAAGGTGCTTTGTTTCAGCATTTGTGTGATGAATTCACCCATTAACAGACGGATTAAAGAAATTTCACTTCTACAGATCATAACAAATGAGAGAATCTAAAATTCATTCACATGCTACTTGGTAACAGAAAGTGCTTTTTAAAAAAAGTGATTCACAAAGATCGTATTTTTACATAGTTCACTGTGTGCTCTTCAACTGCAAAATGTAATTTTTGGGTTATAATTTACATTATTATATATCAATTATAGACATAGATTTAATTGCAGAATTTAATGCTACGTGGGCTAAAACTTCTTATAAAAGAATATTCCAGTATATCACTCCATAAGAATACACAATCACATCTCAGTCATATATTAATCTTCCATTTCTGCAATATATCAAAGTCCAATTATCATTCTGGCTTATAACTTCACCCCACCTAGTGCCTCTTTCACCCACAGTCTGGTAAATTACTTTGAGGTTTCAGTGATGTAATCAAAAGGACACGAGCATTTTTAAGCAGTAGAAAATGGTTTGGGGAAAAATCTGTTAAACGGGCCATCAAAAGGACAGTAAATGAGCAAAAACTGGATTTTAAAACTAGTGCAATAAGAGGAGGCAATGCTTAGCAACATAGTTCGAAGCGTTTGGCACCGCAAATAATTTCATTCTTGATGCTGGAAAACGTATTTGGAGGAAATTCTATTTCCATGCTAAAAGTAGGAAAGCGCGTACAATGTTAACTTGAAAGACAACCCTAAGCAGTCGCTGCCTGCTCTCTCAGATTGCAATTGCAGTTAATTGGCGCTTGAGCTGCTATAGGTTAAACTGTGCCTGAACACATGGGTTTTGACGCAGCATTTCTTCAGGTTTTATATAAACTGGACACCCACTGAAATGGGGCTGACAAAATTATTTACAAAACCTAATTCCATTTAAAAACCAGCAAATATCTCAAAGATAGTAAATGCACCAGGCATTTCAGAAGATCATGAAGTAACTAATCCCTACAGACTCGGCAGGCAAGGGAAAATTCCTAATTTAAAGTTCATTTAACACCAGATGAAGGCAAGGTTACTTTCAAGAGCATACATTTCAGCTGCTCCCGTTCTGTGTGGTTTGTCTCACCCTTCCGGTTCATTAGCATATACAGAACTGGAACCGCAAGAAGCTGGGGAAGGCTGCTGATGCATTTTATTTGTCAGTGTGGTTCAGCTTCTCAACCCGTAATTCAAGTTTACACAACCCCATCTATCCCGATGTGGCAGAATTCCCATTGTCGCTGCAGCGCTTCCAAAGCCATTTTAGGTTTTTAAAATTTTATTTTTTTTTTACAGGGAAGCCCCCCCCCCCATGCAGCCAGAGCGAGTATCAACGTGCTGATGTCATTGTATTATTACCAAATTCCTTCTTCCATCCTCTTTGAGGAAATGGGCCAGAAAGCATCAACCTTTAGGCTGTCGCTACACCACCGAGTAGGGAACAGTGGCACTGCAGGTCTTCACGTAGCACCCAACCGTGGCCCACAGCCCGCCAAGTGACCGTCCTACAATACACCAGTAGCAGCTCTCTTTGTAAGCCCGCTTCGACCCTTCGCTTTTTATGGCGGGAGACGCCAGCTCTGAAGTGATCCCGACCCTATTACCCTCCCGACGACCGAGCCTTTTCCTCCGCGCGTTTTCTTTTATCTGCTGCTTCTGGGAAGTCCTAATGCTGAACCCGGAGTCCAGCCGCGTAACCACAAACCGTCCCTCTGCAGAGCAGGATTACAGCCTCGCTGCCAGACAGAAAGAGGGTAGAAGCTACGCTAGGAAGGCGGTAATATCTGAAATAGCAAGAGCTACAGACAACCGCTGGTGTTATCTCCTCTGTACATTACTTCTTGTGCTGTGCCAGCAACTAGCAGCCTTATACCATTCAAATACTATACAACCTTTAATTCTTACAGGATTATTTGACATCAACAGTAACAGCAGCTAAAGCGTTAACCCTTTATGAGAAACTTCTGTACTTCCCTCACACAAATAATCCCTTAAAAACCAACATTGATTTTGATGAGATATTCTATGTGTTCTCAACACTAACTAGAAGGATTTGGCACTCATTAATAAAAACCCTCATCCCTCACATGCGTCCTTCCCGATCAGTACCAGTTCGCTAACAAAGATTACTTAAAAGGGAAGTTGGGCGCGCAGAACATCTCGTTCTTTCAAACATCGACTTTGCAAAAAGCTGCCAGAGGTTGGTGACGCCCTGGCTGCCGGTACGCCGGCCGGGCAGCGGGGGACACCATCAGTCTTCCTGCAGGTTGACTGGATTTCGCCCACAAAGCAGATATGCTCCAGGAATTGATTATATTTGTGCTTCTAGCCTAATCCCATAATCAGCAAAGGTACCCTGATTTAGTACCTACAAACAATACTGTAAGCCTTTCAACAACCCTACGTAACAATACAGTGCTTTTACGCACAATTAAAATGCTCCTTAACTGTTACATATTGCACTTAAACACTATTCTGCTATTCTAGAATTGTGCTCCAATCCTGATTCTTTCTAGATGGAAAAAGCGCCTTTAGATCTCCTTTTTCCAGCTCCTTACTGTACTCAGTCATTTTAGATAATTCAGCA